TCGATATCCCTATCGATCCCACCATCAGACCATGGATCTCACAATATATTTCACTATCGATCTCACGATCGATCTCGCAATCGGTTTCACTATCGATCTCAATCGATATCATAATCGATCTCACAATCGATCTCACATTCGGTATCACTATCGATCTCAATATCGATACCACTATCGATCTCACGATCGATCTCACGATCGGCCTCACAATCGATATCACTATCGATCTCACGACTGGACACCGACGGGACACCGACGGGACACCAACGAATAACCGGCGGGCAACCGACGGGACAATGCGGGCCACCGCTTGACAACACCGGGGGGGGGGGGACATTTGTGTTGGCGGACCCCTAGCGACAGCAGGGTGAATTCCTCCCGCCCACGCAGCTTCGCCTCGCCCGCACGCACGGCACGAACACGAAACCGAAACCGATTTCCCGGTGGGGGGCTCTCCGTTCCACTTCGATCTCACCCCCTCACCTCCGACATACAAAAAAAACACAGATCCCCCATATTTCCCAATATTTTCTGAATTTGTGCATTCCCCCCACTTCCCATATTTTCCCATATTTTCTGGGGAATCGACGATTAATTGTGTCTGTGTTGTTGTTCCCCCCCTGACCCACCCACCCACGCACGAGGGCGGGGGGCTGGGAACGGATAGCGACAGTGACGCGCCAGGCTCGGGGAGGCGGCGGAGGAGGAGGGAGAGGAGGAAAGAGGACGAGGCGCAAGAGGAGGGAAAGCAATAGGAGGAGGAGGAGGAGGAGGAGGACGAGGAGGAGGAGGACGAGGTGGAGGAGGAGGAGGAGGAGGAGGAGGAAGATGACGAGGAGGAGGAGGAGGACGAGGAGGAGGAGCGGGCAGAATTACACGACAGCCTCCAGGAGGAGGAGGAGGAGGAGAACGCAGGGAGGAGAAGCAGGACGCAGCAACACACCGCTCGTCATGTCTGATCAATGTCGCAAGGGAGGAGCAACTGGAGGAAGAAGGGCAGCGTCAGGATGACGCGCTTGCCACAAACGCCCAGCGCCCAGGAGGAGGAGGAGGCGCGGGAGGGGGAGGAGGAGGAGGAGCAGCAGAAGGAGGAGGAGGAGCAGGAGGAGGAGAAGCAGGAGGAGGAGAAGCAGGAGGTGGTGGTGGTGGTGGAGCCGTTGGGGGCCATGTCCGACCCGCTTGCAGCACGTCGGGTCCCTAGGAACTACACGGAAGCAAACAAGGATGGGGCCTTTGCCTGCCCCCCCCCCCCTGCCGCCCACGGCGAACGCCGCGGCCTCATGCTGCAAGCGCCGCCGCTTCGGCAGAGGCCCCCGTCGCAGATTTTACACCTCAAAACTCGGGGGAGGGGGGGGTGCGGTCACCCCTTCATGGGGCGAGCCGCGCACCCCGCAGTGCTGAACCTCTGGCCTCTTGAGGCCTGGGAGGAAAAAAAACTCAAGATTCACTGACTGTGGCCGACCCCCCCCCCCCGCGTCCAGGGCTGTCCTGCCGGCTGTACTTATACAGCAGCAGCCCGCGGATGTCGTCGCGGGACGGGCGGAAGCGGGGGGGGGGGCGAGCGGCAGCAGCAGCTCTCGGAGGGAGGGGAAGCAAGACATGCTGACACGCTGGCACTACTGCCCCTCACCCCTCTCACTGCTCCCGCTCGGTCTCGAAATCTCCCAGTCGAAACGCTGCGCACCGTAGTCGTATTCATCCAGCACCCTGATGCACTCATGCAGGCGCTCCAGCTTGTCAGTCAGGTAGCTTATCTGACTGTCTAGGTTGCGCCTCGTGGTGACGCGGTCGGCCTCATGGTGCGCGTCATTCACGACTGGGTTCATGATATTATCCCCCTGGAGCTGGATGTAGCTGAGCTGGCTGTTCAACATACTGCACTGCCCCAGGATGATGGAATAGTGGTCGCGCAGGATGCGGCCCGTCGAGAGATGGGCCTGCTGAGCTGCATGCACTCTCCCCAGGTCGTCATTATGATTCCTGCGGGTCGGAGCTGCCTTCGAGCGAATCGGGCCAGGAGGACCAGGATGGGGGTCCTGTCGGCTGGCGAGGTACTGGCACTGCGTTTGCACCCGTAGCAATAGCTGGCGCAGCCTTCGCTGCGGCCGTGCCCGTGGCAGATGCTGGCCGCCACGGCTCACTGCAATACAAGCAATCGCAATGACAACTGCTCTGTGCTGCCCCCCTGCAACAGCTCGATCGAGACGGCTACACTCAACGACATCTCTCCTTCTCTCTCCTTTACTATGATACTGTGCGTCTTCAGTGAAGAAAATTCGGCCCACTTAAATACGTTTATTGCAACTGTTGGGACATCTGACGCCTCACGAATTCTACTGCTCTGACTAGCCGCCCGACTCTCTGCACCCCGTTGTCCCGCATCTTGTAGAGGTTCGCGAGCTTCCGAGGATCACGGGCTAGTGCACGTGCGTGCTGCACCATACTCTGGAAATTCCTCAGCTGGCGCTCCACTGCCCTCTCCAACTCCGTCCTGGGCCCTGCCCCCGTCGGCTTGGTTCCCCCCGCTTTGATCAGCCCCCGGGCGAAGGCGCTCTGGAAGGATCCCATGTCTACCGTGGGCACATGAGCTGGGGGCCCCTTGGCCAGGTGGATCACCGTCCTGAGGTCGGGGCTCATGTTGAGCGAGTGCTGAAGTTTTGCCTTGCGCTCCTGCTCCGGCGCTCCGTCTGGGCTGTAGCGCGCCCTCAAACGGAACATCCTGAACAATTCGTCCACGCATGCGTTCCCGCACTCCCCTGGCCCTGCTGCTTCCATCCAAGACGCGAAACTTTCTTGGCTTCTCCCTCGGCCCCCCTCGCCACCGAACACGTCGTGCATCGCCCCGACCACCCCCGCCGCTATGTGCACGTGGGGGGGGCCCAACTTGCGCCCCTTTCCCGCTTCCTTGACAGCCTGGCGGTACCCCTGTCCAGCCTCGAAACCTTCTCGCACGACTGTGGCTGCGCGAGGGAGGACCCAGAACTCGGTGCACATGTTGGCCATGTCTCTCTGCTCTGCTGCGACGCGGAGGGTTAGCTTCTGGACAGCGACCAAGGCTTGCTGGAGTTCTGGGGCTGCGGCGACGTTGTCTGCTCTCACTTGCTTGTGCCCTCTGCCCCTGCCACCTCCTCCTTTCCCATATAGATGCTGGCCCCCACTGCTGCTGTCCGCTCCGCTGGCTCCTTCCACCGCCCTCTTCTTCTTCGCCGACGCCCAGGACACCCTCATCTCTGCCAAATCGCACTATGTGCGGTCCAGGATGGTGGCACGTGACGCGCGTCTGGAAGTCTTCGAAACTGCTAGCTTGATACTGGCAAACACTACAGATCAGCTCGCTCTCTCTTACCTCTATCAGCTCGAGTTCAAACTTCGAAAAAGCAATGTAGCAGATGCCCGCCCCCTCTGCTGCCCTTGCTGCATGGTATGTTGCCACTCTCTTACTTTGGAAAATCGATCTGCACCACGGGCACTGGTTCGTGATTACAAGCTTGGGCATGAGCGGCTCTATCTTGTGCTGCACTCTCCTGCGCGCTGCCAGTGCCGCTGCTGTCCGAAATCTACATCCACATGCAACGTCTGCCCCCTCCGAGTTCACGCTCTTATAGTCACGCCAAAATATTTTATCCAGTTCTGCTGGGTTTAGCTATTCGGGCTCTTTGGTTTCTGGTTGCGGTCCACTTTGCTTCCATTCTCTTGCTATGCTATTCAACCCTGAAGGGCCAGTCTTAAGCCACCTCTCTTGTTCTTCGGTTCCATATGTAAACAAACTCATGTCGCTCGACCGTGTATTGTACCGATCCTTAAACTCTTCGTCATGATTAGCAAGGTAGCGCATGTCCTCCAAATACTGCTTGGCCCACGATGTGGACTGTGTAATGTTATTGTGCTCATTGGTGCGCTTTGCCCCTATGTTCTGGTCACTCTTAGACGTGCCGAATACTGCTGCTATGACTGCCTCATGGTCGTTCGGGAATTGCGGCCAGCGCTTGTACCACTCTAGCCTTCTGGCTCTGAGCTCGTCTGCGCTCCTGTTGATCCTCCATTCCCTGAACACCTCCTCCACCGTCGTTGCCCTGTTCCTTCCCTGCTCGTCAGTCCAGTTCTTTCCCATCGACAGGTACCTGAGTAACTTACACAGTATAATGTCAATCGTGTCAGTGTACTTCTTACTTATCACAAAACATGGTAGCCCACTCAATGCTGCACCCACAATAAATGCTATGAACATGCTGCGCTTGATGACCTTCGAGGTCTTGGACGACCAGAACGTGCTACACTGTCTCCATGCTGCTCTCGCTGCGTCGCAGCGTCTTCTTATCTCGTTTCCTAGTCCCTGGTCCGAAGGTATGAAGGAGGAGGGGGAGGAGGAGGAGGAGAGGGAGGAGGAGGAGGAGGAGGAGGAGGAGGAAGAGGAGAAAAGAAGGAAGGAAGGAAGGAAGGAATTAAGGACTGGAGGAGATAGAGGGGGAAGAGGAGGGGGTGGAAGACGAGGAGGAGGGAGGCGGAAGGGAGGGAGGGAGAAGGAGGGGAGAGAGGGAGGGAGGGGGATGCCCTGATGTTGCTCCGCCTCTTTGAGCTTCCTGGAGGGGGGAGCCTGTTTGAGCCTCCTGGGGGACCACGGTCGTACTCCCCTCGCCGCGGCCGTACTCTCTAGAGGAGGTCGGGGACGAAGAAAAGGATGCCGCTTGCTCTATACCCTTCACAATGTACCTCCCTCGCCGGGAAACTGCCACTGGAGACTGCAATTATCTGGCTCAATCGCTTGATCCCCACCAGCAAGACCGACCGTCCCTGGGGGGAGGGCAACGTTTGACGAATTGTCTTGCCTTCAGGCTCTCGGGCAGTCGGGAAGACGAAGAGGAGGAGGAGGAGGAGGAGGAAGAGGAGGACGACGACGACGACGACGACGAGGAGGAGGTTGTCAGCTCCAGGCTGAAGCGGAAAGTCAGAAGCGCACGCACAGAAACCGTGCGCCCCACGAGTGGAGAGCAGGAGCCAGCTCAGAGCAGGAGCCAGGCGGCGGCGAGCGCCACGGCCGTGCCGAGGAGGCCAGCGCGGGGGCGCGCGCCGCTGAAGGTGCACTGCACCCGCTCGGCGATGATGGGGCTGGCCCTGGTGACCATGCTGTGGGCCGCCTCCTGATGATACTGATGCCGACGATGACGGCAAATAACGACGACGACGACGACGACGACGAGGACAACGAGATGAGGATGGTGATGGTGATGATAACGCAACTGACGACGATGGTGATGGTGATGGTTATGGTGATGGTGATTGTGATATTGATGTTGATGGTGATGCTGATGTTGCTGTTGATGGTGATGGTGATGACAATGGTGATGGTGATGGTGGTGGTGATGATAATCATGGTGATGTTAATCATGATGGTAATGATGATGGTGATGCTGATGGTGATGATGATGCTGATAATGCTGCTGGTGATGATGGTAAAGACGGCGATGGTGATAATGGTGATAATGGTGATGCTGACAATGATTATGATGATAATGAAGAGGATCATGGTGATGTTGATGATGGCGATGATCATGGCGATGCGGTCTGTCACGACACGGATTGGGGCCCCCGAGATTGGCGTCACATAAACTCAGGATCCTGGGGGACGGGCGGGCAAGATGCCCCAGAATCGAATCGATAAATCGGAACGGCGATCGAAGAGAATCGGATCGGCGGAACTCGGCGGCGGAGTCAGGAGACGTCGAATCGGCAAGCCAGCAAGCCTCCATCGAGAAATCGGAATCCAAACAAGAATCCGCAGCCTTGTCGGCATGGGAAGCCATCGAAATCGAATCAAATCGAACCCGAGGCCTCGAAACGAGCCCTGGCGGGCTTCGCGGGGTTCAGCGTCGGCACCCCCCCGCCGCACACGCCCCATGGGCGGCGCGTGGTGGCGCCTTCCCGGGGGGAAGGTCTGCCCCGGGAGGGGATCCAGCGCCAGCACGAGGAGTCTGAGCGGACGTGTAGCCATAGTAAGTTAGTCACAGTCGTAGTCGTTGCAGGAGTAAGCCAGCATAGTCGTAGTGCTAGTAGTCATAGTCGTAGTCGTAGTCTTGTTACCCAGCGACACACGAGTAGTAGTAGTAGTTGTGATAGTAGTAGTAGTAGTTTGAAAGCGGTAGTAGTAGTAGCAGCAGCAGTAGTAGCAGTAGTAGTAGTAGTAGTAGTAGTAGTAGTAGTAGTAGTAGCAGCAGCAGTAGCAGTAGCAGTAGCAGTAGCAGTAGCAGCAGCAGCCCCAGCAGTAGTAGTAGTAGTAGTAGTAGCAGTAGTAGTAATAGTGGTAGTAGTTGTAGTAGTAGCTGTAGTAGTAGCAAGAGTAGTAGTAGTAGTAGTAGTAGTAGTAGCAGTGATACTGGTAGTAGTGGTAGTGGCAGTAGTAGTAGTAGTAGTAGTCGTGGTAGCAGTAGCAGTGGCAGTAAAGTCGTACGAGGTGATGGTAGTAGTAGTAGTAGCAGTAGTAGACGTAGCAGTAGTAGCCAGAGCAGTAGTAAAAGTAATAGTGGTAGTACTAGTAAGTTTAATACTAGTAGTAGTACTAGCAATGGTAGTAGCAATACAAAAGAAGACTAATAATGACTGTAGTATTATTAGTAGTGGTAGCAGTACGATTAATAATAGTAAGAATAACAGTGGCAGGAGTCAGTAGTCGTAGTCGTAGGAGTATAGTAGTAGTAGGCCTAGTAGTAGTAGCAGCAGCAGCAGTAGCAGTAGCAGAAGCAGCAGCAGTAGTAGTAGCAGCAGTAGTAGTATCAGCAATAGTACTAATGGGTAGCACAAGTAGTAGTAGTAGTAGTAGTAGTAGTAGTAGCCGTTGTAGTAGTAGCCAGTGCAATAGCAGTCGTAGTCGTAGTAGTAGCAGTAATAATAATAATAGTCGTAGTGATAGTAGTAATAGGTAGTAGTAGTAGTAGCAGTAGTAGTAGTAGTGATAGTAGTAGTAGTAGTAGTAGTAGTTGTAGCAGTAGTAGTAGTAGTAGTAGTGGTAGTAGTAGTAGTAGTAGTAGTAGTAGTAGTGACTGGTAGTAGTAGTAGTAGTCGTAGTAATAGAACTAGTCGTAGTCGTAGCGGTCGTAGTGGTAGTGAGTAGTAGTCGTAGTAGTAATGGCAGTAGTAGTAGTAGTAGTAGTAGTAATACGTTGTTGCGAAAGAAATGTATCAGTAGTAGCAGTAGTAGTCGTAACAGTAGTAGTAGTAAACAACGTAGTAGTAGTAGTAGTAGTCAGAATAGTAGTCGGAGTAGTCGTAGTAGCCGTCGTAGTAGTAGTAGTAGTAGTAGTAGAAGTAGTAGTAGTAGTAGTAGTAGTAGTAGTAGGAGTAGGAGTAGTAGTAGTAGTAATAGTGGTAGTCGTAGTAGTAATGTTGTTGTAGCCGTCGTCGTCGTAATAGGTGTAGTCGTAGTCGTAGTCGTAGTCGTCGTAATGGTAGTAGTAGTAGTAGTAATGATACTAGTTTAAATCGTAGAATCGTAGTAGTAGTAGTAGTAGTAGTAGTAGTAGTAGTGGTACTCCTAGTATGTAGGGTAGTACTGACGGGCCCAGCTCGGTGCTGCTACGCAGATCAGAGCGGGACCTCGACATCCCGAGGGAGCTGCGATCTGCGAAACTGTCGCCACTTTCGAAGGTTACTGGGGGCTCAAGACTACTGCTAAGCAACGGCCAAGTGCCAGGGTGCCAGGGTCACGCTTCAGGGTGCTTGGTACGTTATCGCTTAAGGTTCTTAACGAAATTCTTCCTGGGGTTACCCTCGCCGCCAATCGAATTGCATGAGTCGTTGATCGGCGAAGGTCGGGCGACGTGGCTAAATCCGCTCAAAACTGGTCACCAAGCCCCTCCTGCGGTCCATGTGGTACAATTCTGTGCCCCAGACCCTTGTTTGACGATCCCAGGCCCCAGAAGGGCACCGCAGGCCGAAAATGGTCACAAACCAATTCGTCAAATTGTTGTTTTTCACCCTGCTTCCGCCGCGAACTGGACGTTGCCGCCGATTCGTGTTTGTGCCGTATTCTGGTATTCGACTCCTGCAGGCCGCCCACCTCGAGGCGCGCCATGTTCAGGAACGAACCCACGAAGGTAGTGATGTTCGGGGAGACCTGCACGGTTTCCCCCGGGGCCGAAGGCGACCCGAGGAGGCGAAGGAGGAGGAGGAGGAGGAGGAGGACGAGGAGGCTGAGGTAGAGGAGGAGGGAGAGGGGGAGGAGGGGGAGGAGGGAGGAGGCGGAGGGAGGAGGAGGGAGGAGGTGGAGGGAGGAGGAGGACGAGGAGGGGGAGGACGGGTCGCCGAAGCCCTCCGGAGAAACCCTCCGGGGGAGACCTGCAGCACCCTCTCCATGTTGGGCAGCACCCTCGTGGACACGTTCTCGATCACCTTTTTGAGCAGGGACCGGAAGTCCCGGCATTCCTACAGTCCACCACGACACGTTCTTAGAACCCAAAAATGTTCGAAATACAAGACAACGTTCTCAGAACACTAACCCTATGTGCAAAAACAAGCCAGTCTCAGCCAGCAATGCTCTTAGGACATGTCGTGGGAACCACGAAAGGTTCTTAGAACACTGTTTGGTAGGGCTATAGGCGAGCCAGGACGCTTCGCCACTGCTTGAACCTTGCCGATCGTCTCCAGCTTGTCCGCCCCCGTGCCCACCAGGTGCACAGCGAGAGGCGCGGTAGGGGGCCGAGTGAGCTGCGATAGGCGGCGAGCCCGGCGTCGTCGTCGTCGTCGGCGGCGGCGGGACTAGAAGCCCTCGCGGCTTCCGAGAAGACTTCCAACGTCTCCGGGGAGGGCATGCATTGGAAACTTCTCAGAAGGCTGGAAACCTCCGAGCGTGCTGAGAATGCCCGCTCCCCCCGGTTCTCCCCCCGGGCCCGCCGCCGAACTAAGCATCCCGCTCCCCTCCCTTGCCACAATGTTTTGCGTAATCCCCTGAAATCTGACGTTGCCGAACAAATCAACATCGAACATGATTCTGCTTCGAGCGATTCCCACCGAAACCTTCGGTTTGTTCCCAACGGTGCGCGCACCTACTTGAACGATGTGCGCAGGGCCCAGCGGTCTCGGCCAGCGCGGCGACCGGCCAAGTCGCAAGCTAATGTTGCCCGAAAGTCTAAGAACCCAAGGGCCCCTGACGAAAGAGACCGAAAGTCCCTGGAGCGACAAACTAGCCCCCATTCGGAGAGAATATGCAGCCTGTTGGAAGAGAAAGAAGGGGAGCAGCAGTACCAGCAGCACGAGGAGGAGGCGGACGACAAAGGAGGAGGAGGAGGAAGTGAGGCGGACCTCCCCTTGTTTCCTGCTACGGACGCCCCGTCCTCCTCTGACAACGGGGCGCATGTCGCGTTTGGCAAGACGCCGTGAAGTGGTGGCTGGCGTACACGAATTATTGCGCCATTATGTTCGGCTCGATTCTGGCCCAGCGTAGTATATGACAGTATGCCATGTCATGTTATGCGATGGACGGGCCAGAGTGACGTCGTGACACCCTTCACGTTTGGCATGACCTCGAATCGCTCGCTGCAGCTCCGGATTGCTTCTGTGACCAGCCTGGGCTCGTCGCGCATGTCGCGTATGATAGGCAGCCAGTACTCGGTCTCTGCTGACGTCTACGGCAGGTTCGTGTCGTGCCGACCCCAGCGTTGGTTTTTGACACCGCTGGGATCGTTCAAGCTTGAACGATCGGCCGCTGCCGCAACGTCCGATCGTTCAACATCGACCGATTCTGGGCCTCCGCCGGCATTCAATGTTGAACGCCGGCGTCGGGGTCGCCGCCGGTCGACATGACGCGAACCTACCGTACTCTATCACGTTGTGTTCGGCCCTGCTCTGGTACATGCACATCCGATTGCTTCTGTTCTGCTCTCGGCGGGCCCGCGGGACGCCGTGGCGCCTCTGTCGCGTTCGAGACGTCGTCCAATCGGCCGTTGCCGCGCCTGTGGCTGCCTGTAGCCAGGCGCGGATGCTGCGTTCGACAGCGCGCCCTTCGTGCATCGCTGCTGGACGTAAAACGCATCTGTGTTGATCGCCCTTGTGCATCGCCCTTTTTCACTAATCAATCGCCCTCGTTTATGTATCACCCTTATGGTATGCGCGATATGGTGCTAATCCGCGATGCTAAACAATGATGTGTTACGTTGCCGACCGAACGGCATAGCGCTGGTTCCGAGTGATCGGTCGCTGCTGCGCCGCTTTGTAGATGTGGTCGGGCTGATTTCGCCGCGCACGTCGCGTTTGATTGTGCCATGGCGCGGCCTAGTATGTTATGATGTGCCTCTTCAAGTTAATGTTTCTCTTACGCTGCATCATGGAATGTTATGATAACCTCTGTCATCGGTTGCGTTGCTATGATATGATGTGTTCCTCTCTGTGGCACCACGTTCTGGCATGGTACGTATGTTATGTCGTGCGGGGAAAAGTGTCTTAATATATGTGATGCTGTGTTTTACATGCTCAGTTCGTGATAGTAGATTACATGAACCAACCATGGTATGCCTCAATCGTTGACGGAGGGGTAGCTGGTAACGGTGTGCATTGTTCGTTTACTGATGCTGGTTTGATCATGCTTTCTATTACGCTATGCTCTTGTATGTCTGTTCAATTCTCGATCGGCCGGCGTGACGCCGTGACGCCTGTCACGATAGATACGTCGTCCGATCACTCGCTGCTGCGCCTGATTGTTCCTGTGGCCAGCCTGCACTCGGCGCGCACGTCGTGTTTGACAATATTGTGATACAACAACTGCTGTGATGAATTGCTTTGTCATGTGATGCTATGGTTTAGATATGTGTTCTGCCATGACATGTTTTGTCACTGTATGAATGTTATTATGTTGTACTACGCTATGTTACGGTGTCTTCTGCCAATGTGTCCAGGATATGTGCTGTGCCATCACGATATGCATGCTTAGTATGTGTCATGTCCTGTCCAATTCTGACATGATATGAAATAGTATGCGTTGTTGCGTTAGTGTGTTATGATGTACTGTCCTATGCGATGTCACAATGTGTAATTCCGCGCTCTGTCATGGCAGGATGTGTCAAGTAATGGAATGGTATGTGATGTGATGTTGTGTTATGGTGCGATGTGCATGTATTGGTATGGTATGGCATGGATTAGTATGGTATGGCATGGAATATTGTGTCATGGTATGGTGACGAGGTGTGGTGTTATGCTCTGCTGTGTGTGCTCCATAATGTCATAGCGCATTGTGTTGTGCTGTGGTACGATCAGCTATGATGTACAACATTATGCCGCGTTCTGCCATGTTGTGATAAGCCGTCAGTGATGCGATGCAATATGTCATGCTATATGTGCTGTGATGCTGTGTTGAGGTGTGGTGTGTTATGTCATGGTGTGTGGTGATATGATATGCTACGTCATGATAAGTTATTGGACGATATCATATGGTATGGTACGTTTGCTCATGGGTGTCATGCAATGCGTTGGTATGCTGTCTTGTGCTACGATATGGCATGCCATGTTATGTCAGGCTGCGGTATGTTCTGGTTGGTATGTTCAATCAGCGTCGTTGTCTTACGGTATGTTTGTTTCATGGTAGGGGACAATATGTGGTGTGATGCTGTGCTATGGTATGCACTGCTCTGCCATGGTGTGCTATGTCACGATATGGTATGTCATTGCATTGCATGTTACGCTCGGAGTTGTTATGTTAGGTGGTGTGGTGTTATGTTATCATTATGTCATAGCTTATCATGATGTGCTGTACTATGCTTTGCTAGTTCATAATACCGCTCTGCCATGCTATGATTTGTCTGCGCGGGGCGGGGCACTCGGGGGACCTGGGGATCTGGCGGCCGCGGTGTGTAGAGTAGCGCGAGGCGGGCTCTCGGGAATACCCAGCAGCCTGGGGATCTGGCGGCCGCAGTATGCAGAGTAGCGCGAGGCGGGCTCTCGGGGATAACCAGCAGCCTGGGGATCTGCCGGCCGCGGTATGCAGAATGGCGCGAGGCGGGACTCTCGGGGATACCCGGGAGCCTAGCGATCTGGCGGGCGCGGTATGCAGAGCGGCGCGAGGTGGCATTCTCAGGGATACTCGGGAGCCTGGCGATCTGGCGGCCACGGTATGCAGAGTGGGCGGGTCGGGAGGTCTGTTCGTGAAATCTAGCGACCCCAACCTGTCGGGTGGGGAAAAATCAACGACCGGACCCCCAGAGATATTCTGTCTGCGTCATTCTTCGAGCCAGATCGATCTATGAGTGTCCCGGGGCCCGAAATTAGAGCCTGTTTTTTTGTTTAGACTCTGGCAAGTTTACTTGCATGGACGGGGGGGTGGGGGCTGAGCCCGAAGCAAGCCGCAAACGACTTGCACGTTCGGGGGGGCGTGGAAATCACGCAAGTCGAAAGGCACTTGCACGCTAGTATTCGCTTGAAGAGGGGCGAGGGGGGGGGGGGGGGGCGAACGCCATGCAAGTAAACTTGCCAGAATCCAAAAAAAAACACGCTCTTAAGCGAAAACGCACGATTCGAAAAACTTGAGTCGCCAGGATCGCAAGGCCCCCGTCCCTTCCTCCCGCGGGTCCCCGGGCGTCCCGACGTCTCCCTGGGGCTCGCCGACGCGTCCAAGGAGCTCCCAACGGGGGCTTCCAGGACGGCCCCGGCAGGCCACCGAGAGGCGGACGGCCAAAAAGATTGCCCCCAGACATCTACTTAAGGATGACCTGGAAACAGCCCAAGAGGCCCCCAAGACGGCCCAAGAGTGCTTCAAGAGGACCCCGATAACCCCCAGGCGGGCCCGAACACTCCCGACCATTGATGTCCAATGCTTCAGATGAAGTTTGCGTTCTCACCTTTCTGGGCTTCGTCCGCACAAAAGACGGCTCAAGAGGTCTACAAGATGGCCCCAAGACGGCTCAAGAGGGGCACTCTTGGACCACTGGAGGTTCGCTTGACGATTCTTGGGCAGTCTTCCGAGCCTCTTGGGCCATCATGAGGGCCTCAAAACGGCCCCAGAAAACCTCATGCTGGCCCAATAGGCCTCCAAGACGGCGCAAGAAACTGCCAAAACGAACCTTCAGTGCTCCAAGAGTGTCCCAAGACGGCCCCTAGAAGCCCCCAACCCGACTCGGAAGGCGCCAGACTGCCCAAGAGGCCCTCAAGACGACCCCGCGAGGCATCAAAGACGCACCCGAGAGTCCCCAAGAGAGGATGCGGGGAGACGAGGAAGAGAGGAAGACGCCGACCGCGCGACAGACACGAGGAGAGACACTCCGACACACCGCGGAAGAGTGTGACAAATCACGGCTCCCCCAAGCCTCGGGGCACGAGGTGTCTCACGTTGAGACGTTACGCCTCCTCCTCCTCCTCTTCATCCTCCTACTCCTCCTCCTCCTCCTCCCTCCTCCTCCTCCTCCTCCTCCCTCCTCCTCCTCCTCCTCCTCCTCCTCCTCCTCCTCCTCGAAGGGTCGCCACCCAGAATGCCAGGACGGAGCGGTGGCGGGTCCTGCCGCAGGCAGCCGGAGAGTCGTAGTCCGAGACGTTGGCCATGATCTGGGTGATCTGGTCGCACGCCTCCTTCGGGGTGGCGGTGGCCAGGCTGGTGGCATTGATCCTGAGGCGGACCGTGTTGGCATTCAGCTGCCCGAGGAACGGGAAGAGCGCCCTCTCCAGGTCCTCCGGGACCGTGCGCCGGAGCATCTGGATGGCCTTCAGGCTGTCCTGGTGGAGCCCTCGGAGGCGGAAGCCAGACTCGTGGAAGAATTTCGCCATGATGAAGCGCAGCTCCACGTCAGAAGCGGAGGTGCTGTCTTTGACGAACTGGGTGGTCTTCTGCTGGGTCTGGTCCAGGAACTTACGGACATTGACGTCCACCCTCTTTGTCACATTGCGGAAGTCCTCCACAAACTCCTCGTCCTGCAGCGCCTCCGGCAAGGCCAGGACGACGTCGACCATGTAGCTCATGTTCACGCCCGCCAGGCCACCCAGAGAGTCCTCCAGCAGCTGCTCCGCGCGCGCCGTCATGTCCGTCTTGGCCTGCCGGCGGCTCTCCTTGATCGCCCGGCGCTCCTCGGCCTCGGCCATCCTCTCTCCCATCAAGATCTTCCTGCGCTTCTCGGTCGCCAGCCTCAGCTTCTTCATCGCCAGGTTCGCGGCAAGCTTGGCCACGTCCAGCTCCTTAGGTAGGGGAACGAATACAACCTCAGCATACGCTGTTCGCAAGTCCGCGCCAATTTCCTTGACCGGCGATGGATTCCCCAAGGCTCCCTAACCGCCTTTAAGGGCTTCACTCTAGACATTTTCTGTCTGGCTTCACGCGCCTCCAAGCTTGGACGCGTCGGCCAGCGCCACTGTCGCTGTCGCAGAAGGCCTCCTTGGAATCATTACTCGACTGGCAGAAGAATCGGAAATCTCAGAAATGCCGTCAACTCTGACCTTATGTTGTTGTTGACTCAAGCCCAACTAGGCTTACCAAATGCAAGAAGGATTTACTTGTGTTTGCACATGCGGTGGGTGCCTGGCCTGCGCTGGCTGGCGCTCCTCGGGTTGCTTGAGATTGTGTCTTTACTGCCTTCCTCGGGTTGCTTGGCCTTGCTTCTGGGCTGCCGTACTCGGGCTGACTGGTCTTGTCTCTTGGCTGCGTGCCTAGGCTTATTTGGTCTTGTTGACTGACTGCATTACTCGGGAGGCTTGGCCTTGTTTCTTGACTGCGTTCCTCATGTTGATGTTACTTGGCATTGCTTATTGACTGCCTTCCTCGTGCTGCTTGGTCCTGTATGTTCACTGCCTTCCTCGGGTTGCTTGGTCTTGCTTGTTGACTGTCTTCCTCGGGCTCCTTGGTCTTGGTCCCTTGCTACCTGGCAATGTCGTGCAATGACAAGCAACACCAAGCAACGCAAGGCACCGCAAGGCACCGCAAGGCAATGCCAAGTAAGACCAATAAATGCTGACCCATGCCTTCATAGCCAAGCAATGCCTAGAAACACCAAACCATGACACACAATGCCAAGGAATTCAATGGGAATGCCAAGAAATTCCCAGGAATGATAACAGAAGCCAAGCAATCCCAAGACGCAATGTCAAGGAATGCATCGGGAATACCAAATAATGCCGAACAATGGCACGTAACCGCAATGCCAAGCAACGCAACGCAAAGCAATGCAAAACAATGCAAATGCAAAGTAATGCCAAGCAACACCAACCCAATGACAAATAAAGCAATGCATTCCTTGCCCGACTACTTGCTTCGGAAATGTTTCTCTAACTGGGGTCGCTGGGAATTCTCTGGGGAGGGTGGGAGAAGAAATGAACCGCTGCACCCCAAACATCGTAAACAGAGCGGCTCGATTTGCGAAAAAGCAAAAACAACAGGAGACTACCAAGGACATCAAATCCGCCGACCCTGTCGGCGTGTGTGAGGGGCTTGTCCGTTCGACTCGTCATCTCCGTCATTCGTTAGTCGTCGTCTCTGTCGTCTCCTTTCCCCTGCGCCCCCCCTTTCCCTGGGCCCGTCGCCGCTCCCCTCTCCTTCCCCAGCGCCTCCTCCTCAAGCGCGCCAGCCAAACCGAACTTGAGCAACGTCGTAATTGAGTCGAAGGGAAGCCCCTTCCCTTTGATCCCTCCCCCGCCGGGAGGGGGGGGGGGTCCCGGGGGGGGGTCCCGGGGGGGTCCCGGGGGGGGGTCCCGGGGGGGGGCGCGCGTCAGATACGACGCCCCCTCCCCGGGGATCCCGGGGCCCAGAAAAGCCCGTCGCCGCTCCCCTCTCCTTCCCCAGCGCCTCCTCCTCAAGCGCGCCAGCCAAACCGAACTTGAGCAACGTCGTAATTGAGTCGAAGGGAAGCCCCTTCCCTTTGATCCCTCCCCCGCCGGGAGGGGGGGGGGGGGTCCCGGGGGGGGGTCCCGGGGGGGTCCCGGGGGGGGGTCCCGGGGGGGGGCGCGCGTCAGATACGACGCCCCCTCCCCGGGGATCCCGGGGCCCAGAAAAGCTCCAAGACGGGCCAAGAGTGCCCCAAGAGGCCTCCAAGACGGTCCAAAAGGGCCCCGAATCGCCGAACGACTTGTCCAAGACGCCTTGACGGACTCCAGACGACCCAAGAGCCCTGCAAGACGCTCCAAGAGGCCTACCAGGAGCACTCCCAAGACGGCCCCAAGAAGCTAAATTCATTGATTTCCTATTGTTTTTTGAATGATTTTGGCGTTCTCGACTCTTCCCCTTCCCGACGCTCCAAGACACGCCAAGAGGCCCCCAAGATCGCCCTAAGACGGCCCAAGAGGCCTCCAAGAGGGTCCCAAAACGGCCCAAGAAAGCGCAAAGACGGCCCAAGACGTCTCCAAGACGGTCCTAGAGGCGCCCAAGACGGCTCCAAGAGGGTGCCCAGATGCGGGACCCGACCTGACATGTCGAGCTCTCAGCCCTGAGAGGCTCCCAGGAGGCCCCAAGAGGCTCCAGGAGGCCCCCACGAGGCCCCAAGGAGGCCCCCAGGAAGCTCCAAGAGGCCCCCAAGCGACTCCCAACAGGCCCCCAAACTGCTCCCCAGAGACCCGAAAGAGCGCTCCAAAGAGACCCCACGAAGCATCCCAGGAATCTCACCCACGTCAGCGTCGTCGTCGTCGTCGTCGTCGCCGCCGCCGTCGTCGTGTGACAGCACACCCGACGACGACGATGACGACGACGACGACGACCACAGCGCACTGAGCCAGCCCGCGCCGCCCCGCCGGTGGGCCGAGCCGCGCCCGCCGCCCCCATGAAGGCGGCACGGGCGCCCCTGGCCGCAACCTCACGCCTCGTGAGGCCTCCAGGGTCGGCGGCACCGGCCGTAAGGCCTTCGCAATATAACCATTTGTGAGAATAACAAGTGAACGGAACATAGGCATGAAACGCTTAAGCGCGTGTGGACGTAGACGCCGTGGGACCACATGTGGACGCACCCCCTTGAGCCTCAGGCGGAGCTCCTACGGGGCCACGACACGCGTGAGGGGTGCGCGGGACTGGGCGGGGGGGCCCATGTGGAAGCACCCGCGGGGGCCTTAGGTGGAAATCCTCCCGGGGCCACGAAGCGTGTGAGGGGCGTGTCGAACTGGACGGGGCAGCCCGCATGTCGACGCACCCCGCGGGTGCCTCACGTGGAGCTCCCCACGGGGGCACGACGCATGCGAAGGGTGCGCCGCATTGGACGTGACGAGAGCATGTGGACGCACTCCCTGGGGGCCTCAGGTGAAGCTGTTGCATGTGGCCGCGAAGCGTAACAAAGGGGTGTGCCGAACTGTGCACGCGGAGGGTGGAAGGAGGAGGGGGAGGAGGAGGAGGAGGAGGAGTGGGAGGAGGGGGAGGAGGAGGAGGAGGAGGAGGAGGAGGAGGAGGAGGAGGAGGGGGAGGCGGAGAGGCGACGCAGGGCGCTGCGGCCTCGAAGCGGGGGCCCAGCCCGAACGCAACGCGGGCCGGTGGGGAACGGAAGCGGCGAGAGGCGCAGTTGCACACATGTGCGATCTATTCTTAGCTGAGCGTACACACGCGCAAAACTACTCCAGATTTCGTAATAAAAGGAGGGGGGTCTCATTTCGGGGGGGGTCTCTTCCAGCCTATCTTGGAGGGCCTGGGGGGGTCTGGGGACGATGTTTTGGAGGGTTCTCCCAGGGGGGGGGTCTAAAACTTTTCGTCTGGGAGGGTTGAGACCCCCTCCCTTTTATTACCAAATCTGGAGTACACACCTGCATACACACATACAACCATACATGCCGATGCCCACCTGTGCAACCACATGCAGAAGCCCATGCACACAGACATGCACACAGACATACATGTTTACATAATTACCTACCCACCCAAATGCCCACATACATAAATCCGGCACCGTGCCTCTGGCACGAAGTGGAGTGCCCCAAGGCTCATGCAGCCCTGAAACGTAAAGGGTGCTCGAGGTTCTTAAAGGCCCGAACTCCAGTCTCCCGGGCGCTCTTGGGAGCTAACGGACGTTTCTGCGTTGTTTCGCGTGCCTCCGGGACGGTCCCCTCGCTCAGGATTGCCGCCAAACGGGCCAAGAAAGCCCAGGGAGCCGCTCAGACGGTCCAGGAGGGCACAGAATCGCCGAAAGATCCCTCCAATACGCCCAAGATGACCTCAAGACGGCTCAAGAGGCCTCGAAGACACCCCACCCACGAGGCCTCCAAGAGTTCTCCCAAGAGGGCCCCAAGAGGCACAAATCATTGATGTGCCTCTGGTCTTTGAATGACTTGGTGATTTTCAGCTTCCCGACGCTGCAGGACGACCCAAGAGGCCCCCAATGTCGCCCCAAGACAAACAATGAAGCCTCCAAGAGGGCCCCAAAATGGCCTAGGCCCCAAGACGGCCCAAGAGGCCCCCAAGACGGCTCAAAGGGGGGTCCCAGACGGAGAACCCGAACGGACATGTCCAGCCCCCGGCCCCGAGGGGCCCCCTGGGGCCCCAAGAGGCCACCAAGAAGCCCCCAAGATTCCCACAGAGGCCCCAAAGAGGCCCCCCCAGGAAGACCCAAGACCCCCCCGAGAGGCTCCCAAGAGGGCCCTAGAGGCCCTCCAGAGGCTAACATGCACGTGTGAGCACCATGAGTTCGAACGAAAAACTGGGAGCCAAAATTCACACAGCCCATCTCACCCTGTGTCAAAATTTCCACCAGCCCGAACTTGTAAGATCTTGTCGATCACATACACCCCGCCTCAAACAGATGCACATTGGGGAAGGGAAACAAACAGCAGGGGGTACGGGTGCGAAGGAAACGTCACCGTCAGCGTGCGGTTGCTCAGCGAAGGTTAATATATATATATATATATATAGATATATATATATATATAGAGAGAGAGAGAGAGACATGTACTTCTGGAGCGCCGCGAGGATGGATTTCTTGGATCTACGCCGGGCCCCCCTCCCCGGCGCGCCGGGAGCGCGCCAGGGGCGGCGCCGCAGGCGCCGGCAGGGGGGCCCAGCGCAGATCCAAGAAATCCACGCGGATCGCTGAAGTTTATGATTACGCAGAATGTTTGCCCATGGTTCCCATGAGTAACATGAGACCGGGGAAAAAAACCTATCAGGGCTATAGGGCTAGGGGGCTATAGGGCTACAGGGCTAACCCCGGGAAGCAAACAGTACCCCCCTGGCGATATCGTTAGCACAGAAAATAAAATAAATAATTATTTTGGGCGGCGCCCTCCGGCGATATCGTTAGCACATAAAAAACAAGATAATTAATTAATTTGCCCCCCCCCTTGGGCCCGAAGCTAGCGGCAACGTGAGGCGACAGCCTGAAGAATCAATGCGCACGAACGCTTGCCAATGGGTTCCCGCCTTGCTAGAACACTGGGAAACTGACGCGCATCGGAAATCAAAGGTAAATCAAAAATGACAAACAATGAAACCCGGGTAATAGCTGTCACGGGGAGCTCCATTTTGGTCGGCCCGCCCAAGTGGGCTCATCGGACAGCAAGGCACCGAAAAAGAGCGGCATTTTGTTGGGGCGTCACACGAATCTCACATGAACATCAAGGGGCCCTAACAAACATCTCCAAGGAACACTAAAGGAATATCAAAAGAACCCCAAAGGAACCTCAAAGGAGTCCCACAGTAATCACACAGGAAACGGCAAGGAATCTCAATAATTTGGAAAACGAGGGCTCGCGTGGACATAGACAATTCCTATTGCGACCGCGATAAAGAAATTGATTTGTTCAGGGGATCATATGGAAGAACCCACGGAGGGATATCGCAGACGCATTCCGCGAACCCCCCCGCGATATGTTAGCACATTTATTTAAAATAAAAAAAGCCACCGGCCCCGGAGGTCGATGTGGCGGTTCCTTCAGCAAGGGAGCACACACGAATCTCACATGAACCTCAAACGACCCCTACAAAAATTTCTAAGGAACACTGAAGGAAGATCAAAAGAACCCCAAAGGAACCTCAAAGGAGTCCCACAGGAATCACACAGGAAACGGGAAGGAATCTCAGGAATTGGGCAAACGAGGGATCGCGTGGACATAGGCAATTCCTATTGCGACAGCGACAACAAAATTGATTTTCCCAGGGGATTATATGGGAAGCCCACGGAGGGATATCGCAGACGCGTTCCGCGAACCCCCCGCGATATGTTAGCACATGTTTATAAATGTGTATACATATATATAAACATATACATGTGAAAAAGTTAGCCGCCGGATCCGGTGGCCCGTGTGCAAGTCATAGGAAACCATGGGAATACATAGGAATCCAAGGAATCACTCAGGAAACCGCGCCAAGGCTTCACAGAACAGCACCGGGTCGAGCACGACCTGGGGGCACTCCTCCTCCCCCTCTCCCCCGCCCGTCACTCCAACAATTGCGGCTTGAAAGGAGGGCCCAAGGGGACTGGGCATTCAGAGGCTTGTGGAGGCCGGCCTTTCTGGATGCCTCCTGGGAACCTCCGGGGACCTCTCCTCCGCGGACCTCTGGTGACCTGCCGAGGATATCGCTTCCGCCCCGGCCCCGGTGCCGGAAGCGTTAGAATTTCCTCTGATGAGGGGGGGGAGGGGAGGGGGGTTTACTGATTGCTTCACAGGGTTATTGAGCTATAGGGCTATAGAGCTATAGGGTTATAGGGCTGTAGGGCTATTGGGCTATTGGGCTATAGGGCTTAGGGCTATAGGCTATAGAGCACCCCCGGGCATCCCCGGGCACGCCCGGGCACGCCCGGGCACTCGGGCCCCCGGGCCCCCCCCGGGCACCCAGGCCCCGGGCACACCCGGGCACCCGGGCATCCGGGCGTGCAGCGAAAATCGGCGACATACCTAACCTAACCATATGAATCCACTATAGGACCCCTACAGAGGCAAGCTCTCATTGGGGACCCTCAAAAAGTATCTGCGGACAGGGAAGATCGAGATTTCGGGGCTCGCACGTGCCTGGAGACGCCCCCAGGGCAAAACAGCCGAGCGAGAGCGAGTGCATGCTAGCCTTGAGTCGGGCCTGTCCCCCTACAGGGGGATTTTCGACGAAAAATAAAAAATATACAAAAAATACCCCAAAGAGGCCAAACAATACCCAAAAAAATGTCTCCATACGATGTTTGGACTATATTTTGACAATTTCGGGTGTAGTTTTCAATTTTTTCTCGGAAATCCCTATAGGGGCACACGCCCGACTTAATGCTAGCCCGGGATTTCTTTCGCGACTGCGACTGCGACGCGCATTGCGCGCCCTGTAGGTGCCGCGGGTTGGGGCTTAAGCGCCCAGAAATATGGAACAATGACACAAAACATGTCCTCTATCGGGAATCTCCTGACCCGGGTCAATCCAGACCCGGGTCAGTCAGGCCTCGCGAGGTCCTCCAGAATCCTGCAGGATCCCGCAAGATCCTGCACCCAAGCCCGGGTCAGTGCAGCCCTGGCCCTGCAGGATCCTGCAAAACCCGGCGCTCTGGCTGACCCCCGTTTGCATCGACCCCCGTCTCTTGAGCCCCGACCCTAGATTGCTCCACACGTCCCGGGCGACACACTGCATCAACATAAAAATTCAAACTCTCGTCTCGCCCCGGTCCTTCTTCGAGACCATGAAGTCCTTCATGGTCTCTTTCAGATGCGCCTGCTTCTCCTCGGAGGGGGGGAAAAAAGGGTACCCATGCTGCTACCCTTCGCACGTTGAGGAGCATCCTGAGAGGCCCTCGCCGCTACGGCTGGATCGACTCGAAATGCTGGTCAGAACGCACCCCGGAAGAGGTCCCGGGAGTAGTGGCATCGATACCTTTCGATTTCCCCATCTCCCGGAAGATGGCCATCAGCTTCGGGTCGAAGTACGTGGACAGGTTGGCCCTGCTCTGGTTCTCGTCGGCCTGGACCTCCGTGGCGTTCTCCGACGCGTTGGCGACGGCAC